TGCGGAGGAGGGGGGAAATTTCAGCTTCAGAAGCAGGCTGAGAGCCGATTAGGGCTGAGGCGCCTCGGCCACCACGGCCTTGCACTTGGGGTAGGCATCTGCCCAGGCCTGGCAGGTCGGGGGGAATTGCTCTTGCTGAGTTGTGTTTGTAACCTTGGGACTAAAACTGGCCAGAGGCTATGAGCGGCCGTAGTTGCCGTTTTTTTAGGTCTCGGGTGTTTTCTGTTCATTGGGCCTTGAGGGTTCCTTTGCCAGCAAAAGGTGGCCTTCCAGCCGCCAATCCGCTCGGTGCGGATGATGGTCACCTGTCAGTCTCCAAAGCGACGGGAAGTGAAGTTCAGAGGTGCAGACGCAGACGCTCCGATGCTTCGTGAAGGCCTGAGTGTCTTTTGACAGATCAGTGGGCGACCACTTGTTCGGAGAGATGGACAGGTAACCATCCTGAACGGAAGAAAAAAGAATCTAAAGGAAGGGGGTGAGGTGCAATTCGATACCAGTGCCTGCCTGAAATGTGTACAGATGCCACCGGACTCCATCTTCGAAGCCCACGAGCAGCACATAGAACTAACCAGGAACCAGGTGACCAGTGGCTTTGAGGGCACTTTGGTTCAGCCAAAAGCCCAAGAAGCCTGAAACGCCCGCACCTTGATGTGGCACTTGCGGCCATCATCCGTCAAGAGCGGATCCTCACACCGCGCGAGTTAGAGACCCTGGACCCCGGCCGCCAAGAAGCGCTCCTTGATGTGGGGTTGAACCACATAGACGCCTTCCGGCCTGCTGGGGGGGAGATGCGCCAGCCGCCAGCTTCCGGCGGTTCTTGGTTACTCAGCTGCCGGCTTCACCAAGCTGAAGCAGTCGGAAGGCTTGGCTACGACGTGCACGGACGTGCCTCAAGGCACACTTCTCCAGAAGCCAAGGCGATTCCGCGATGGCCTCTGTGACTCTACGGCCCATGCCCCAGTTTCTGTCCGCTTCCTTCACGAACCACGGGACATCAGAGGCCTGGAGTTCACACCAGGGGGGAGGCACCAAGCGGTGTCAAGCAAACAAGGGCGGACCTCCAAATCTGGTGGCGGGGAGCCTCCCACAGCCAATGCCCTGTCCTGCTGGACCCTCCCCACTCTTCCCGCCTCTCCACGCGCCATTCTCGAGAATGTACCTTCACGTGCCCCCCGACCCCCCCGGCTCAACACCTCGCGCACCCGCTCTGCCGTGGCGAAACGGGGCGAGCGCACGTCTCCGGCATCTTCCCCGGCGCCAGCTCCAAGACCTGCCAAGACCATGAGCCCCGAGCACCGAGCCCGGCCTGCTGCGGCCCCAGGTCTCCAGCCAGGCGCCTTGGTCTTCTCCTCCAGCCAGGCCCTGCCTTTGAGGTACCTGAGACTTTTGCACACGCACACGCACACACACACACACACAGACAGAGTCCTTTCCGGGGGGCTCACATCGCTATGCGGCTGAAGTGAGACTCATCGGCAAAGTCCACGAGCTTCTTACCCAGTGGGCAATGATATTCATTGCCCTTCTCGTCCTGCTTGAAGCCACACAAACCCACAACGACGGAGAACGTGTATCACCGTGCACTGTACGCTGACATATGTTGTGGTGCAAACATACCATAGTAGCATCTCGATTTGGACCCGGTAAGCGCTGGCAAAACATGGTACAATCCGCCGAGGCCACAGGCCCAGGCGTCTTGGGGGTTAGCTCAGGTTCCCTCCACCTAATCTCATTTTACCTGATTTGTCGGCCTCCCCCCCCCCTCCCTCCCCCTCCTTCCCCCCGCCCCGCTCCCCCCCCTCCCCCCCCCCCCTCCCCCCCCTCTCCCCCCCCTCCCCCCCCCCTCCCCCGCCCTCCCCCCCCTCCCCTACCCATTCCTCGCACTTCGTATCAACAATCGGGTTGACAGGCCGCCCTAGCATAAAAAGACATCGACTGCCCCCTCACCCTGCCGCTACACAGCCGAGGCGGGCGGCGTAGCGTTAAAATTAATGACAGACACTACCGACACTACCTAACCAAACAAGGTCTCTCGAAATTAACCCATACTCTCCGCAGCCAGCGGAACACGGACAAACGGTTTTTTCTACAGTCCAATGCAGCGATGCAATTTTGCTGCTGGACTGGCAAAGGTCGCGGGCCATCAAAGCCTCCCGATATCCTACATGCACTCCTCCTGCGCATTGTAGTTAGCCAATGATAGCTTTTCATGGAAGGCTACCCTGGTCCTCAAACCATTTCTGATTGGGATAGACTCGCCAATCTGGTCTTTCCAGCAGGTACTCGCAGAACCTGCCGTCAGAACGATTCCTTCCTTGCTCCCCTCACCGCTGTCACGCCTCTGGCCGTGACCCCCGACCTTGCAGTTCGTGCAGTACCGATACCTGGCAAGAGGCCCCAAGAATGCACCGCTCGGACGCTGCAGGTTCCGTGCCCGTCATGCCCTGGCCCTAGCCTTTGCTGCAGTGGGCGACCTTCCGCATCAAGAGGCAGTGCCGCCGCAGGTTGCGAGTCGTCCGTTGCTACCATCAGCGATTTGTCATCAATCACCTCTGCAAGCGTGGATCACGAAGGAAACTTCCAGACATACCCTGACAGCCGCGGTAGTGTGCCTCCTTCATGCAGGTCATTTCCTGCCGACTCCTCTCGATCTCGATGTCAGCTTGCGTCAGGTGCTTGTTCACAATCACCTACTGCAAGAGAATTCGGGAAAAGCACTCTGACCCTCACCCTACACGAACTGTGATTTGGCGCGCCTGTTCTTGCTGCTTTAGCCTTGCTGCCGTTCGCAAATCGCGCACAGCTGCGCGAACACGTCCTCTAGAATACACCCAACCCAGCGCGAGCCCAGTCCATCTCATGACATGCCGGACATGACATGACATGTCCTGCAAGCCGCATGACTCTCTGCGCGTCTCCAGCATCAAGAGTGCTGATGCATCTGGCTGCTTCGAGCGATTCCTCCACCTCACTGCTAGCTGAGGTTCAAAAACGCTTCAGCTGTATTTTAGTTCTGTGGCCTCCAGCTCACCGAAAGACAGCTGCGTTTGCCGTACCCGGAGTCGATTGCGGCCGATCTCCGTCAAGACCTCGTTTGATGGGATCCGCAGAGCTGGGCCCGGGCCGCCCGGGCCACCCTGAGCTGAGACCTCCCTCTGCTCCGCCAGCGCAGCATGCTGATCCAGCGCATCCTGCAGAGACAGTCTGTCTCTACAACAGTGCGTTTGGCTGCTGCCAACCTGTATGCTCCAGGATCTCTCGTACCTCCCAGCTATATGCGTCAAAGTGAGGATTCTTGCATGCGCGGAGAGGAGAGCACTGGACGAAGATGTCCATTGTCGGCACTCCTCTTTGCCTGCACACCACAAACTCCCGAATCTCCCGAAACCACATCACGAAGACAAAAAGCTGCGAGGGCCAGGCTCTCGCCCGGCGGAAGCCCGCGTCTCGTCCTGGAGACGAGACGGAGCTGCCAAAGCCCCGTCAACACCACAACACCATGTCAGCGTGCGCTGGCGCAGTCCATCGCCAAGGCTTTCGCCGGCGCCAGCGCGCGGCCTGCGAGGACTCGGGAAAACTCCGGGCAGCTAAAGCCAGGGCTGTTTCGAGCGGCGCGCGGGGCGCGCGCGCGCCCGCCTCGTGGGGCGAAGGGAGGCGGCGCACCTGAGAGAAACGAAGCGAAGCCGACCGCCCAATGCCACAGAAACAGAGCCGAGCCGAGCAAAGCCGAGGGCCGAGGGCGGAGCCTCCCATGGCGGCTGTTGGGGCTTTCGCCTCGCGCGTGAGGCGGCGCGTGCAGCAGGGGCTCCGCCAGGGCCCCCCGGCCCCCCCTGGCCCTTCTTCCAGGGCTCGGGCATTTTGCGGGAGGGCGATCCCTGCCATCCAGGACCTGGCCGCCCTCAAACGGCACGCGCCATTCTGAGAGCCCATATGCTCCCAGACATGTTTCACAGAGAGCCTTGGTCACTGCTGCATGGCTGCACGTTTTCCACTCAGCAGAGGCCCAGTACAGTATAGACCCCAAGGTGGCCGGTCTTCAGCCACAAAACGAGTTTCAGCTGCTGTCGTACACCCTTTCATACCACACAGCTATCTCAGGGTACACCTGATCGTCATCGTAAACGATAAACTCTCGGAAGGTTCCGCGGCATTTCTCGCGATCTCCGAGTAGGCTATGATAATTTCCGTGGAGGCACTGCCTAACCAAACTGTCAACGTTTGGTGCAACCTCATCACAATATAGTACATTTCCCAGAACCGCGCGGCAAATCAGCATGCAGCGCAGTCCCCCTGAATTCTCTTTCGAGTACTCGTCGGACTTGCTACAGCTTTCTGCCATGTAGATACCCCTTCCGTAGAGGGTGCCTGCATTGGATCCTGCTTTATCAACCAAGAAATCGCCCTTGGTAATCAGCTCCGCAGCCTCATCGTTTGTGCCATGAAAGAGCCAGACTGTGTTGGTCAATGGGTCAGAGCCTTCACTGTGAAGCTCCATTGAGGACGTCTTCAAGTTGTCGATGCTGTTGTTCACCTGACCTATGTGCCTCTGAAAGCACAAATCGCACAAGTCGAAGTCGCACTGCTCGCAGCCTTGGGCCATTGGAGATCCGATCCCAAATTGAAAACATGCCGTGTTTGCCGAGTCTCGGTATCGATTGATGCCTTTGGTCTTGTTCTCCCTCATGCATCCAATGCTCATGCGAGAGTTGTCGCAGCTCCACCCGTTGTCTCTGGTTGTGCCTTGTCACTGCCCCGAAAACGCACGTACTGACCCACACGGACCTACATGCATGAAACTGCCAGCCAGGGGACCCAGCGGTACGAGCGGATGCCTGCATCACTCAGTTTCCGAAGCGGCAGCTGAAAAGTGCTGGCATATTTGGAAGAGTTGACCACGAGCCGTGAGCCACAGGAACTCCAAGGCAAGTCACCCTTTCAGGCACAGCTTTGCGCCCGTTCGCAAAAGGTAGCACTTCTCACAGTAGTCGAAGTCACACCGTTCACATCGGAAGCCTTAACAGAGATGGCAGAGATGACAAGATGACAAGGGATTCGAGGAGTGAGATTAGGCCACTGAGATTCGAAAGTCTCAGATTGGAACGATTCATGCCCTTCGTCTGACGAAAGCCGGTGATTTTGCTCGCACATCCGGCGTCCTCGTCCCGGCCATCGCAGGCCCAGCCATTATCTTTGCTTGTTCCCAGAGGGCTCAGCTCATGGCCTGAGACAGACCGTGCGTCCTGGACATGGTATAAAGCTAAAAAGCACATTACGGCAGAGACGCCGAGAGACGAGGAATGACGCAGACGCCAGCTGGGCTCTGGGCCGTTCCTGCAGACGCCTTTGTTCCCAGAAACGCGCAAAGCGTCGATCTCCTCGCGGATACGCCTCTGCTTCCGCACGAACTCCGTCCAGTTTTGGAGATTCTGAATCCGGTAGGCATGCATCACTTGCAGCCGGTCGGGCACCTGGCGGCATTCCCCTGCAAGACTTGCAAGCTTGCAATCCATTCTCTCTGCTTCAAGCTCGCCACACTTGCCTTGGTGCCTTTGCGGTCACGAGTGTAGACCTGCCAGCGCGGAAAGATTCGGCAACCTGCAGAAAGGTCCGAAAAGCTACTAGTAATTAGAACGACTGTCGCAGTGTCGCGTTTTTGATGCTGCTTGCCTTTTTGTATGACGCGTCGAAGATTTGCCTGCGGAGCACCGCGGCCAGGTCCAAAAAAACAGCCAAGCGACCCAAAACCTTGATCCAAGATGCTGAATAGAAGCCAGCTCGCTTTCAGTCAGTTCGACTTTGCCGAACTTGTTCAACACGTTCTCTTCTTCCGGCGCAAGGCCCTTTAGCATCGCGATGTCCTCCATCACCTCCATGTCCCAGTAGCCTGGCTCAGACAAGAACCAAAGAACACCATCGGCCGCGATCCGGGCGGGCCTGGAATGAGTTCCGCATTCACAGTCATCGGCTTGGCGGCTGGACCGCGCTCAGCCACCGGACGGGCTTCGTAGCACCGGTCGCAAAGGTCGAAGTCACAGGCCTTTCGGCGAGGCTCTTTTATAGACAGTGCAAGAACGCACCAAATCACTCGCACTTTTGTACTTGAGCCATGCAACGTGGTAGTCGGCAATCATACAGTACAAACAGGATCAAAACACCCCCCGCACCTCGGAAGTAGAAGTACCATAAACTACCAACATGTTGCAGATGCGAAAGACTGAACATTTTACACCTCACAGTCCTCAGTAAAGCTCTTAGTCATGATCTCAACACACCCGACATAGAAAGTCCCATCCGGTCAGCCCGTTACATGAGCCGTCCCGACAGGGAGGCGAAATGGTGGACATGGAGCAGATGAACTACTCTTACATGTCCGACCCGTCAGGGTGGAGAAAACAAAAGGCATAGAGCCGACGACAACAAATTAAGCTGCTACTGATATGCACAAGACGCGGCACTCAGTAGAGACGGACGCCATGTTGCGTCTCCTTGCATCCAGCCAGGTAATACTGAACGTGCTCAGGTGCCAGAGAGAGAAAGTCATCAATGCACCATGCTTCGGCACTGCCCGATCTTCCATTCCTCTCGGCACGTTCTTGTCGCGGGATGCCTTGAGCCTCGCCCACAAGATCGCATCATGCCGAATGAAATTATAAGGCTTTCTCGGCTGAGATGCGTCAATAGGGTTCCCCCTTGAGTCAACCACCAAAGCGGTTGGTGGAGGGCCCTTGGGCTTTGGCGGACGCATCGGTGCCGTAGAAGACGAAGCAGGCACATCCCTTCCGGGCGGCGGATAGTTAGGCTCAGTGGGCGTCATCCTTGTTGCCGCCACACGTGGAGAAGGATCACGAGGTCGTGCTCGCGGCTTGGGTGGAACCGACCCCGAACGCTGTGCCGCAGTGCCAGTTGTTCTCGACGTTGGCCTTGCTTTTGGAATGGGCGGCTGGGCTGGGCTGAGCGTCCTCTGTCCGCTGCTCCCGCACGGAAGGCATAGCCGAATCTCTCATTGACGTTCTTAGCGCCAGGAAGATCTCTCGCGAACTTTGTGTTGATCAAGAGTTCGTTGAGCTGGCGATCGCCAAGAGAGGAGAGCCCTTCCGGAATGCAGAGTTCCTCACCCGCTGGTAACACGAGCTCGGGAACTTGCTCGCCCCTTTCAACAGTATACTGGATCTCATCTTGGAAGAAACCAACGATCCTCGCCAGAATCTGCACAGCCAACCCCGACGGTTTGAGAATTTTGCCACTGAAGCCAAGGATCTCCACGCAAAGCCGTTGTGGTGAACACCAAATGCAAGGAGTGCTGCCTCATCCAACTTATAGAACCTGTCCACAAACGCCACATAGCAGCGGTTGGTAAGGGTCAGGTCCTCACCTTCCGGTGGGAATGACCAGCTCACCTTGGCAGCTCCGTCAAGGCCGGTGCGATCCTCGATCATCTGTCGTGATCTGGGAGGATTGGCAATCCGCATCGGGGCGAAGATCATCGATTGCTTGAGGCCGCTGATGGAAATCCCGAAGCGTGCGTTGTTGTAAGCCATGAAGGGGTCTCTCGATTGGCGTTCCATGACTGTTCGAGATCCTGCTTGGTTTCGATGCACTTTTCCAGGATACTTCGCAGCTTGCTGCCGAACCAGAACCGGCGCTCCGCTCCTTCTTGTGCCCTGTGGCCCTGTTCGCGTTGACGACGACGCCGCGAGGTTGCAAAGCCCGATAATCGATAGGCTCACTCTTCCGAGCGGCAACTCGCTTGGCACGCACGTTCTCAAGGGCCATGCTCACATCGGAGTGAGCCTCCAGACGATCTTCACATTTGAAGCAACAGATCGCACCATCGACGTTGGAGCTCCCGCATGACGGGCGGGCAAAGAAGGGACGCTCACATGTTCTTGGCGAAGCCAGTCCGACACTCGTCGTTGCACTTGTGATGGCGGTGCTTCGGAGCGACATGGACATGGACAACCATCTTATACAGGGACTCCGATCCTTGCAAGGCATGCCCTTCCGGGATGCGAACGTCCAGACCATATGCACTCATAGGGTAGAAATCCAGGTCATGGACGTCCTTGCATGCCTTCGCAGCATCTGTCCAGGTGCTGAAATTGCGATACCCCAGGCCAGCCACGATGAAATTGTAGTAGTAGCCATGGAATGCATTGGCGTCAACAAGCTCCTGGTGGCCGCGCTCCCCAAACACGGGAGTGTTGAGGCTTTTGTCCTTGCAAGCCAGGGCCAAGCGCTTCCGCGCTGGTTCGTATGCTCTGTTCGCCCCAAATCAGCTCCTGGGTGGAACGGTCATATAAGCATACATCAAGGCCCGGTTGCTGATCCAGTCGGGCGTCTGCAGAGCACCAGCCTTTGTTTCGAAAAGCCGGCAGCCGTCACAGGCCGCGATCTGCAAATCGATCACAAATTCCAGCTGTGCTCCGGGACGAACGCCTTGAAAGATGTAGCCCGGCAAGGGTAGGGCCCCGTAAGTGGAAGCTCCGTGTACGAGGGAACCCAGTTGTCGTCGAAGGCCCAGACTGTCAAGCACCAAAAGACACGCGTTGCGGCCTTGAAAGGCCCTGATCTTGGTAAAGTGTCAGTTGGTTCCGCGGCCAACCTTCGTGTCGCCTGGAGTTCGAACCGGCCTTGAAGGTCGATAATCGTCATGACTGTAAGACGCGACCACTGCTTCCCTAAGATCTTGAGGGTCTCACCAATGTCTGCGGCCTGCTCCTCATCGAACTCCACGGTGTGAAAACCTTTGTCTTTGGCGTGACCACGAAGGTGCCATGACAGTGTCTTGCCCAACGAAATGCACTCCATCTCCCTGAAACGAAAATAACCCATGCGACCAGAGACATCGGGCAGCTGTTCCGGCGTAAGCCTGATGGGTCCACCACTTCCATGGGGATGCTCCTGTTCTTCGTCGGCACCATAGTCAACAGCCATGGGCCATCGGACCAGAGTCCCAAACCTCCGTCGGGATGTCAGACGTCAGATGTGGCAATCGTAGAAACTGCCTCACCATCCACGACAGAGCTGGCTGCAACACTGGGCTCGACGTACTCATACGGAGCAATTCCCTTCTCCTCGGCGACCGCTTCTGCCTCTTCAGTCGTCATCACCAAGCTCACAGACTCTATCATGGCGCGAACGAACCCATATGTGAGAAGGAATGCTATCTGGCTTCTTCGAACCTCCAGACCCTCCACATCTTCTGCCAAGAGTTCCGCCGGAGTCGTAGTAGCGGTCGCCTTCGGGCAGATCTACGAGGTCACCTGGTTTGGGATCAATAACTTTGGGTACTTCTACTTTAGCCTCACCGTCCCCAGGGGGTTCGTCAATTGGTTCCGCCTCCTGATTTCTCAGAGATTCAACAACGTGCTTTTCAATCGCATCGTGTGCCAACCCATCTCGGACACGGTTGTAACGATCAATCATGGGGAAAGTGAATTCGCCATCGGGCACTTTCAACTGATGTACATTTATAGGCTTGTGATATTCGTAGAAGTCACGTCCATTCAACTTGGAGATAGGAACCACCAACATTTCTTCTCGCCCGCGCATTCCTGGCTGGAAGTGGTAACCCAAGAAAATCCCGTGTTCTGATGAAATCTCAAATCGTTCATACCCTTGTAGCTTCCGTTGTTCACGAGTACCGACCCGGTAATCTACTCGGCATCCGAAAGGAATCAACGGGCCATGGAAGTCCTTGCCAAAACGCAGTGTCCATGAAGAGTGCTTCGTACCATTGTGATGGCTTATGTTATGAGCGACACAAGCATGTTGTAAGGCATGAGGCCAGTACACATGAGCCAGGCCAGCTTGCTCCAGATTCCTTCTGGTGCCTTCAGTCACCGTCCTTATGGCACGTTCAGCCATAGCATTGGACTGATGGATGTAGGCCTCGGAATGTTCATGTCCCCATTAATCTCAGGAGCATTGACCAACCTCTTCGTTATTAGCTACGAAGTGGTTGGGCGCTTTGTAGCACTCGTCCTGGGACTTCCGTCCGGAGTGGTATGCGGCGAGGAAGCCTGTTGCCACGTCCTTCATGACCAACGCTAAGCGTGAATCAATGATCTCTTCCTCATTATCACGATAGACAATGAGATGATCGCCGGTGAGATGTTCGCCAAAATTCTCGGCCTCGATGAACCTAGATCCATTCGTTTGGCACGATGGTGGCTTGAACATCTTTGCCAGTTGGCATGTTGGACAAAAGGGTTCTTAGGGACGTGAGTCATCAGATGACGCTTACTCTTGGCCTCTTCCCGTAAAACCTTCTCTGCTTTCGAAAGCCTACTCGCCTAAGCAGGAACAGGAGGAGGAGGCGGCTGATCCTCAGCATTCTTCAACTCTCCGGCTTCATCGAAGTGTTCCTCCATCTCAAACAGATCAGACATATCCACACCATCAGCAGGCACAGGCTCAGGCTTCCGCCCGGCTTCAGGCTTACTAGGTTTGGACTTAGCCTTGCTCTTCATCAATGGAGGCGCAGGTTCAGGAACCTTAGTCTTTTCACCTTCTGCTTTCTGCTTCTTCGCGAAGTCAAACATGGTGAGCTCTTCATCACTATCGCCGGTAATTAAAGACGGAACAAATGGCAATCGTCTTCCAGAATTCAACTGAAACCCGAGCGACATGAGGGACTTAGATTGTTCCCAACTCAAACCATCTACATCTCGAATAGTGTAGGCAGTGATGGTCCATCGATCACCAGTCCACGGCTGTGCCTGATGCCAAAGCTTAGGGTAAAAGATAACATCCGATCATGGGTGTCATAGACTCTTCCGTGAACTTCTTTCCTTCCCGTAACCTTGACGCACTTCGATTGTCCACCTGCCAAACCTTCTCTACGAAACGTAGGAAATCCATCCCTCTGCTCAACCCATACGGATCCGCCTTGATAGCTTCCAATACCTACGGTGTGGTTTAGTGAGCCATCATGGTTCAACAGATCACGATGTACACGGCGACTTCCACCATGATTGATGCAGAAAGGTATCTTTCAACCCTCGCGACTTCATGAAGGAAATCAAGTACTTCGTCAGCTGAGAATAACGATCAACTGAATTCGTGACCCCAGTCATCCCACTGAAAATCCAAGCACCGATTATGACGTAGTCCCTGCCAACTTCATCCTCGTCCGGATCGCCGCTTTCGTGACCTTTCATTCTCCTCGAATTCCCGTTGGCTTGAATGGAGTCAATTTCAAAAGTTAGTAACAAGATCCCAAACGGAAGTCGCCGTTGATCCGAAGTTCCCTTGCATACCCCTCAGCCTCATCAAGCGTTAAAGCTGAAACGTCACTCTGTTCGGCCTTTGGCTGGAGCTTCCGCCTCGCAGGTAATGCCACACCTTCCTTCCACGACTTGAGGTAGGGGACATAATCCTTCACATCCATGTAGATCCGTTCACCACTAGGGGACTGAAAGTAAGGTCTTGTACCTGATCTCCAAACGAAATCAAACGCTTCTTCCATGCATCTGTATCCCACGGATAGAACAGAAGGTGTGCTAGGCAACACGTAAGGATGGCTGTCGATGCTTAGTGAAGGAACTGCGATGTCGGGTTGAACCTCAGCAGTGCTAGGTCCGTTGGCCGTCACAATGCCGATTGGATTCTGGGAACGATGACTCTTCAGTGATCCAAGATCCCCCTGAGACACAAGGTCCTGGGCGCTGCCGGTGTCTGCAATCCACTCAATGTCGAGATGCTGGGACTCTGCTCTGGTCGCTGTAACACAGGTGGCTTCAAGGTGTTTGGGAATGGAATTGTCGCAGCCAAACTCAGTGTCGCATTCCTAACCACGACTATCGGGCATATCCTTCCGGAGTGCGTAAGCTGCGTCGGCCTGGGTACCCGATGCCGCGGCGATCAATGCCCCTAGGATGCAGACTGCCGCAGGAGCTGTTGGTCGGCCCTTTTCGCTTGTCCGAACCCTTGCTGCCCTTAGAGCCCTTCGACCCTTGTGAGCGTTTCGAGTTGGACCGCGACTTCCCTTTATGCCCTTTCCCTTTGCTGCCTGCACTTCCCTGTCTTCCCCCCTGAGAGTCGCCTTGTGATGTCGCAGTGGCACTTGGTTTGTCGGCGTGGAGGAACGTACACGCACTGCCTTTCTTGCAGCGTCCGCTTTTCCAGAACTTACACTCCCGTGGTTCTCCATCGTTGTTGTTCCCGGACGGCGAACGAGCACGACCTCCTCCTCCTCTTGAATGCGAACGGCCTCTCCTCTCAGGGACTTCATTCATGATTGTACTTGCACTTGTCTCCTTTGCTGCACATACCATTCTGGACGAAATCAAAACAAAATCCCTTAGGGACAAACTTCTTCTTGGGAGCGGGGGCGAATGGCTTTCCATCAGCACCATATTGCTTGGCAATCCGTTCCCGGTTACGCTCAAGACGCTTGCGACTCAAATAGTTTGTAGCCGCATCATACAAAAAATTGTAGGTCTTTTCCGGCTGCCCTCGAGTAGCCCTCTCATAGATGTTGATGTCGTGTGCGAGATCCTTAAAGCGCTTGATCTGCCTATGGAACAAAGGCTCGAGGAAGGCTTCATCGGGGGTAGTCTGGATTCCCGACAATACGGTTTCCCAGTTATGCATGAACGTCTCAAGCTTCTCATTGACCATCTTGACGGACAAAAGATCTTCAAATTCGTAGACTGATCCATGCTGTGCATTCGTTGAGAAGAAATTGTCCAACTTGAAAAGCACTTGACGACCGCGAACAAGTCTGCCTGCATTTGCCTCGCGCTCCTTGAAGGTATCGACTTGTCTCGCGAAGGCTCCCTCCAAGATGTTGGTGACTGCAGACAGAACCTTAGCATCCAAGGTGACGAACCCTTCCGGGTCGCGAAGATCATCCTCCTTAACATCTTTCTCCCAAACCTTAGAGAGCCAGGTGAAGGCGTCATCAGGACGATCGGAAGCGGCAACAACCGCTACGCGAACCCTTAGCCTCCAATTCCTGTAGCTTGCCGGCTGGGGAAACTTGGGGAAAGTGATCTTCTCAGCTTCTTTCACCTTGGGTTTCTCGTCCTTCTCGGACTTATGCCTGCGCGACTTCTTCTTCTTATGCTTCTTATCCTTCTTAGACTTCCGATTGCGACGATCATGGTCATCATCGCTGGGGCCGCCACCACCAGGTCCACCACCACCACCCACAGGACTAGAATCATCCGGAGGGGTTCGCCTTCGTTGCCTGCTCTGTAGGAGTATCACCTCCATGCTTAGGGGTGGAAATAGTATGGACGGGAATGCCAGGTGGCTGAGGAATGCCCTCTTGCATCTTCGCAGCAGCATCTCTAGCTTCAAAGTCACGAACCCTGGAAGTAAGAACATTGTTCTGCTGGATCAATACCTCAGTTTGCTAACGCTGGGCCTGAAGCTGTTTCATCAACTCGTCCGTTCTAGCTGACATACCGGCGACCTCATGAGATCGCATTGCATCATTCTGACGGGCTGAAGTTTCCACTTCACGAAGGCGCCTAGATTGGAGGTTAGCTTCTTCAGTAGCCCTTCTGGCCGCTTCGGCTTGCTTGTAAGCCTCCATGATGGCGAGTTCCCTCGCATTCTTGGTTTGCTGATAACGAGGTTCTCCCTGACCCATTTCAGATCTCTGAATCGACAGAGCAATGTTAGCATTGCCTAATTCATTCCTCAACCTTGTAACTTCTACTTCTGCAATACCATCATTGTACATGTTACGGAGCTGCTCCTGATGTTCTGCTCCCAATTCGCCGATGATCTGATTGCGTCGCGCCTCCGCGGCAAGAGCGACCATTGGAGATGCATCCTGGTTCACGACAACTTGGCATCGACAACCTGTAAGTTCTGTGTGAGGTTTGCTTGGTGAAGGTGAGGCGAAAACTCTGGTGTTGATGGGCTGGGCATGCCTTGCAGGAGCCATAGGTCCAGGTATTTCCTACCGGAGTCATCTGTGTAATAGATCCTGGCGAAGTAGGAACACGTTCCCTCAGCAACGAATCAATTGGTGAGTATGCTGCTGCATCACTTCGGTGATGGGTTAATGCCAAACTGTCACTCGGCAAATGAACTTCACCTGATGGCATTAATGGAGGAAAATCACGTTCTTCTGCATCATCAGTTGCCAAAGAGATATTATCCGAAAATACCTGTTGGCACTGGATCAAAAGAATCCCCCATCCCGGATTGACCTGCAGGAGTTGCGGAGCAACCTGGAAAGAATGGCTCGACTTGGCTACGGCTGATAACCTATAGATAGTGCAAGAACGCACCAAATCACTTGGACTTTTAACTTTTGTACTTGAGCCATGCAACGTGGTAGTCGGCAATCATACTTTACAAACAGGATCAAAACATCTCTGACCCCCAACAGTCACTGTGCACAACGGCCTCGCAGCGAAAGCGGTGGATGCCCTTCGTCTGCCGAAATCCAGTGATGCCGCGTTTGCAGCCACCCGGCTCACTCTGGCCATCGCAGCCCCAACCATTGTCCCTGCGGCAGTCAGCAACGGGCACACCGCCACGAAGCGGGCACGCGGATAAGCACTCGCAGACGCCAGTTCAAGTTGTTGCGCCAGCTCACGAAACACACGTCTCAAGAACCAGCCATTTTGATCTGTATTCCAGATAGTGAGACTCAACGGTTTGCACGCGGCACGATCGCTTGGGGACATGTTGCTGAGATGAATGCAGCTCTACAAGAGCGGAGCAGCAAATGGCACCCCCGTCCAAGGCCTATCCTTTGGTAGTTGCTAAAGCAGTTTCCTCCACAAGCCTTGAGTTCACCTGCCGCAACTCACACACTCACCCATCCGACCTACAAGTATCTGGATTGAGGCCGCAAGGACGGGAAAGCTTTTCTGGTGCACCAGAACGCACGGACGAAAATGTCTGAAGCCTTGCCAAGCCAAGCAATGTCATGCGGTGGCCGCGACTGCAGAGCTTTGCCAGCGGCGTCTCATAACACCGCTCGCACAAGTCGTAATCCTTGACAGGCTTCCCCTCTTTAACAACGACAGTGGAACGAGAACCATAATCAACAAGATCAAAACAAAAAGCAATCACCAAATGTGCTTGAGGAACACACTGTTCACATCGGAAGCGATTCAAAGTTGTGGTACTTTCGAATCCACGCGCAATGCTCTTGCAGCCACCTTCGTTCTCTCCATCGCAACGCCAGCCGCGCTTGGTTGAGCTTCTTCTGGGGCTAAGACAATTTAAAACCATGCCTTCTTCAAAAAACGCTAATCATTTTGGGGCAAAGATCTCGACGTCGCGTCATAACTGATCATAATACTAGAAAACTTATATTGCCAAAGACGAAACAATGCCATTCGAAGTTCAAAGCGTCTCTGGATAAGCCGAGTGGAGACAGAACATGACCATTCGGACAGCGCCTGCTGTTCAGGCGTTCCAGATAGCACTCCTCGCAGAGATCGTAGTCCTTCGGATTCGGGAGAAGCACGATTTTTCAGAGCGAGTATCTGACCAGACCTGGCTACACCATGTACGTCTTGCCGCCACGCCCTTCAAACCCCTTTCAAACCCCGGTGGTCACAGGTCTTGCAGCGGAAGCGCTTCATTCCTGGCGGCCAGGGCTATTTGAAGGCATCCCAGATCATGGCGTCGACCCCTTGAGCTAATGAAGGCTCGTCTACTTCCGGCCACAGGTGAATCGTTTTGTCCGGCCTTGTGATTGGTTGAAGCCGGATAGGCCACTGCGGCAGCCGCTAGGGCCCTTGATACCGTCGCAGGCCCAGCCGTTGTCCATGGTAAGCCCCAAACTCTCCAGGACATGGTTCTGGAGACACGCCATCCCGTACCATGCTGGGCTTGGGCCGGCTACTGGCAAAGACCTGCTAGAACCTACACACTTCGGACATCTGCACGCAATGTGCCTTCCTGCTGATGTCATGATCACAGCATTGGGTGTCGCAGGTTCCTTTCCACGCGGAGTTTTGTACTGGATAGAGTTCGGTCTACGCCCGCGTAAAGGGCCAGCGCCACGGCAACTTAAAAAGTCCGGGCTACAATGCACCGAAACGCACTCCGAAGCTGGACGGCGCAGTTGCCGGGAAAAGCGGGCTGGAAGTGTCAAGCCCGATGAAGGCTACGAGTGCCGGTGCTGAAATTCACAGCCTCAAGCAATGATGATCGATTCCTAGCATAGCTGTTATGTCGAACCCATATTACAAACATGGCTGCTGTGATGAACGACCATCTTAAGGAATTGCATACGTCCGGATCACGGGACGTACAGTTTCGGTGACCTGCGTCATTTGGGTAAAGACTGGCCCCATCTCTGTAGTTTGCCAAGATTGTCTTGGCACCTGCTCCAGGTCCGCACGCTTTCTCGTAACATCAGAGAGCAGTTAGTCGGCCAAGCACCGAAAAATTGGAGGATGCAGGATGCCGCCCTCCCGGCAGATTCAAAAAAGAAATGACATTGGGTGAAAAGGCGCTACAGGAAAGAGCTGCCTGTGAACATCAGATTGCTTGCGTCACCTTTGCCAGTGAAGTGACGGAGATGAAGCCCGGGCGACTGTGGGCTGGATTGCCGGGTCATCGGGCTGCTGCTGCGATCCAGCCCGCGACGCTGAGAGATCACATGCTTGATTCTGACCGCAAGCGGGCGCGGGCCCTGGACCCTGCACTTGGCATCCTGGAGCTGCAGCCGGCGCAGCTCACAGCATGGCACAACGGCACAACGCTCAGCGCCCGTCCTTCGAGGCAGTGGGTCGGTCCTCTGGAGCAAAGCAGGTGTAGATCGAGGAGCGCGGGCTCCGAGGCGCCTCCTTCAGATCCTGCAGGAACGCAAAAGAACCGCAAGCGCTTGCACTAAGGCTGTTTTAACGTGGCTTGCACAGGTGGGTGGGGTCAGGGGGGTCCTCTTCCTGATGCCGCGTGATGGGATGCGTTGCCGCTCGACCTGCCTTCCGTCGAAGCTCGCAGAGCTGCGGAGGCGGAGGCTCCAAGTCCTCGAGCCCAAAACCATCGATGCTCGGCTTGCGAGGCAGGGGTATCTCGCCGATCTTTCCTTGCATTGCCCACTGCAGCGGCTGCTACAGTTCGAGCCGGGCTGTTCGGCCATAGCCGCTCGATTCTAGTGCACACGTGCCGCTTGCCATGCCTCAGCCGCCTCAGCCTTGTAACCTTGAAAGCCTGCGAACGTGCCCTGGCCCCTTCATCTCTTTTCTGCTTGCGCCGCAACGGGTGACTGAGCATAATGACATTCGGGTCCTAGTCCTCGAGTCCTTTGCCCCTCACTCCAGCAGATCGGGGCGGCGACGCAGCAGCTCCACCTCGACAGGAGGAAGAGCGCTCTTTAGCAAGAAGACGGAAAAGAGCTGCCGGCGGGCCGGCGGGGCCAGGGACGGGACCAAGGCTCGCAGGCCGTAGCGTCGGCCCAGGAACTTGGGGACCGACACCTCCGAGACGGGAACTGCGAAGAGGCAGAAGGTGCAGTGCAGTCAGTGCAGTCAGTGCAGTCAGTGCAGTCAGTGCAGTGCCCCGAAACGGGTTCCTCCAGGTCGCATGTTTGCAGAAGCAGCAGCAGCTCCAGGAGCTCCTCGTCAAGGGGGTCCTCGGCCGTCCTCCAAGAGAGACTCTGAGCTCTCTCTCACACTGCGTTGCTGCGGTCCAGCTGGAGCAGACGATGGCGTTGTCCGGGCAGAGCGCCAGGGAGACGGGGGAGTTGTCCACAAGCAAACACCGATCCATCCGCCGGCCCATCCGCCGGAGATCCTGGCGATGCGATGCTGCGATGCCATGGGCACAGGCGTCTCATGGCGTTTCGCCAGCTGCTCGTGCTGGGCCCTGCTGGGCCTTCAGGAAGGCCCCCGAGCGCTCCACGCAGTGCGGCCCTATGCAGAGCAAAGCGCAGCAAAGCACAGCAAAGCGCTCCGAAATGCTCCGAAGCATCGCTCCGTCGCTTCTGCTTCTGCTCTGCTCTTCTGCCGGCTGCTGGCTGCTGGCTGAGCTGCTGTAGAGGCGGGTGGAGATGCACTGGTGACCGGGATCTAGCTGGTCCAGCACCTGACACGACCGAACGCTTCAGTGGCAATCTGATAATCTGCTTCAACTCACGGCAGCACCTGGTCGGCGTAAGACTTCGAGGAAGCCGTGAACACAACCACCTTTGACAAGACCGGAATGAGGAACGACAAACTCACACGGCCCACACACTGTCTGTCTACTTCTACTACATAAATAGTGTTCCTTCTCCCTGTGCTTCCCCTTTTTTCTCTTCCTTCCTTTCCCTCATTCGCCTCCATCACTCAAGTCTCCACGCGTCATGAAACAACCTGGAGCCTGGAGCCCCGGACCGGCGTGGTCTTCGTCTCCCTTATAAGGGCCCTTAAGAGTTCAGCACTCCAGAGTCCGCGTCGCAAGCGCGCAGGCGCGCATGTACCGCACTCAGACTTTCTTAGTCGGCTCTTCGCAGCCGAAGCATTCGAGAATCGTCATCTCCTATATTCCCTCCGACTCTTTCCCCTGTGCTCGGCGACTTCCCAATTTCTAAACTTCTAAACTGCACTGATTTGTGGGGTTTCGGGCGACAAGCCCGGCAGGCAGCATTCCAGCATTCTCCGGATGCGCCCGGTCCGATTTGTGTCAGGGTCCCGGCCTCGAAGAGCCGTGCGGCAGCCTCCAAGAAGAGCCGTGCATGCGGCCGCACGTAGACGTAACCGGTTGCCTGGCATCTTTACGTGAGGAGGCGAGCTGCCAAGCCTGTCAAGACTCCCACCTTAGATTCCTCGAACTGCACGCAGAAGTCTGGCCTCTCGTCTGAGTCTGGGATCGTCTAAGTCTAGGGCCTCTACTGTAGGGCTGTAGGGCCGAGGGCATGAGAGATGGGCTCTGTAACACCCTTTCCGGCGGCTGAGGCTGCCTGAGGCTCTCGAGGGGCTCCAGGCGGCAGTGCGAAAGCGTCTCGTCCAGATCCTGGGAGTCGGCTGCGGAACTCTGCACAACTGCGTCCAGAGGAGCTGCTCCAGCTGAGGTGCCAAGACCACTGTGAGCCGTGGCGTGGTGGACTCGGATTCCAAGCACTCCTGCAAGCCATGCGCCATAGCTGCCGTCGCAGAATCAAGAGGAGCTGCTTCAAGGTGCAGCGTCTCCGACCGTGGCAGGAGCGCTGGGCCCTGCCACAGGTACAAACAAAAAAGCTCAACACCTTCTACTGCGAGTACCTGAGTACCTGCCGTGCCTCGGGAACCGGACCAGGATCCGTGCACTCATACCTCAGAAAACGCTGAGAGCCCCGTGGCCCGTGGACGACAATAGGTTTGGGAGCGGGCGCAAGGAAGCGCAGGGCAGCACGGAGGCTCTCCTCAGTGCCAACACTTGTCGGAGTCGTCCGTCGTTTCTCTTTGGGGCCCCAACATCCAGCTCGGAGAATGCCGGAGGCTCCTCTCTGGGATTTGCCATCGTAACGCCCATCACCGCCCTGGGTCGAGTCGGTCGGACTGGCCTCCCGCCGAAGGCAACAAGGAGGGTCCCCCGTCTGACGCGGAGCTAAGTCTTAAAGCTGGGCTTCGGACCGACCCATCCATGCATCTCTTGCATCCGGAAGAGCTCTACCGGGATGTACCATCGCAGCCGCCATTGAATTAAGTGCACGAATTCCTGTAACTTGGTGCTCGAGACTCCACCAGATTGATGATGCCTCCGCTTGCTGTCCCAACACGCCTCTCCGCGGCTCTATAGCATGAGCCTTTTGAACTTCTCGGCCAGTTAATGTTAAACTCTTTGTTTTCCTCATCTCAGCCCTGTGGACTTGTGCATGTGCGGCAGGTGGACGCAAAGCTGGCGCCATTGGGCCGCATGGGCAAGAACACTGCAACCAAGACGCACTCTGAAGTCATCACTAAATGTTTTCAAGCCTCGGATCGCTTCGGGCCAAGGCTCCAAGGCTCTTGTCTCCCGGCGACCAGAAACCTGAAGAGAGAATCTTGAATCCCAGAGAGAGCTCAGCAGTTTGCCAAGTCCTGACATGTTGCCGAAGGGCTCTGTCTCGCGCTTTCTCCAGCTAGCTGGAAAGCTCTGTGGGCCATGCCCGGGTACGTGTGGTCTGGGCTGCGGCCGCAGAGGTTGAAAGTCGAGGATTCGGATTCTGTACAACGCGAACTCCACGACAAAACTATTAATATCGAAGCTGTGGCTCGATGCCCTCGCGGCCCGCCAAAATTGGAGATTTCAACTCTACAGTCTACAGCTCGTCCGGGGCTTCGTCCTCTTCACCTGGGCTACCTGAAGTGCCCGTACCAAAGTATCTGGAGACGATGGGAGCGCAAAGACCTTCGATCTCCTTCTGCTTCATCTCTATCTCCTCCGTATCTGCTGCTGGGTTGGCATCCAACCAATCTCGGCCATCCCTCACGGCATCGACGATGCTCTGCTTCTCCTCTGAGCTCATCCGCTCACTGACGCCATGCGGGCCATGCCCCATGCCCTGGAGTCCATGGAGGTAGCCTTCCAAGGCGATCCTCGCGTCGACGCGCTCCCTCGTCTGCCGGTCCTCAAGGCGAGCGCACTATCAGCAGGAGCAGGAAAAAAACGGTCCCGGTAGCACTCTGCGCCACTCTGCGACACTCTGACACTCCGCTGAGTTACTACATCTATGGGAGAGTGGTCCTCGTACTCGAAGGTCTTGGCGTCCTTGACCATCTTCTGGATCTCTTCCTCCGTCGGTCGGTTCTGGTTCTGGATCGTGATCTGCTCGCTGCGGCCGGTGCCCTTATCCTCGGCGGCGACGCTGAGGATGCCATCGCTGTCGATCTCGAAGGTCACCTCGATCTGAGGCTGTCCCCGCGGTGCTGGGGGGACACGAAGCTCGAACTTGCCAAGAAGGCGGTTGTCCTTGGTCATGGCACGTTCGCCTTCGAATACCTGGATCTCCACTGCTGGCTGGTTGTCCCGGGAGGTCGAGAAGACTTGGGTTTTGCGCGTTGGGATTAAGGTGTTGCGATCGATAAGCTTCGTCATCACACCACCCATGGTCTCGATGCCCAAGGTGAGAGGAGCCACGTCCAGCAAGACCACATTTTCTCGGGTCTCTCCACTCAGGATTCCGGCTTGCACTGCTGCGCCATACGCCACTGCTTCATCCGGGTTGATGCCGCGACTCGGCTCCTTCCCAAAAAAGTCCCTGATGAGTTCCTGCACCTTGGGGATTCGCGTGGAGCCTCCGACCAGGACGATCTCATCCACCTGACTCTTCTTGAGGCTTGAGTCCTCCAGCACCTTCTTGACGGGCCCCAGGGTCTTTTTGAAGAGGTCCAGGTTCAGCCCCTCGAACTTCGCGCGGGTCAAGGTCTCTGAGAAGTCCACGCCTTCGAAAAGCGCTTCAATCTCCAGCTGCGACTGGTGAGTGGAAGTCAGCTGGCGCTTGCTCTTCTCCACCTCCCGACGAAGTTTCTGAATGGCACGCTTATCCTGGGACATGTCCTTTCCGTGCTTTTGCTGGAAGACCTTCATGAAGTGCTGCATGACGCGCTGGTCGAAGTCCTCTCCACCGAGGTGAGTGTCGCCACTAGTTGCGATCACTTCGAAGACACCGTTTGCAATGTTCAGGAGAGACACGTCAAACGTTCCACCCCCGAGATCGTAGACCAGGATGTTCTTCTCATCACTGCTGTTGCCCAGGCCATAGGCTATCGCAGCGGCCGTTGGTTCGTTCACGATCCGCAACACCTGAAGTCCGGCGATTGAACCAGCATCTTTGGTAGCCTGGCGTTGCGCATCATTGAAGTATGCAGGTACAGTCACTACCGCATACTGAACCTCCTGGCCCAAATAGTTTTCAGCTGTCTCCTTCATCTTTGCCAGGACCATGGACGACACCTCCTCCGGAGGCATGATCTTCTCCGCACCCTTTACCCTCACGCTGATCATCGGCTTCCCGCCCTGCTCCAGTATCTTGAATGGTAGCAGCTTCATGTCCTCCTGCACGGTAGAGTCCTTGAAGCGCCTCCCCATCAAACGTTTCACGTCAAACAAGGTTTGTGTGGGATTCACAGCGGCCTGGTTCTTTCCGGCCTCGCCTATGAGCCGCTCTTCATCAGTAAACGCCACATATGAGGGCGTGATGCGATTTCCCTGGTCGTTCGGAAGTATCTCGACTCGTCCCTGCTTGTAGATGCCGACGCAAGAATAAGTCGTCCCAAGATCCACTCCGATCACAGGTCCCAAGGGTCCTAAGTTCCTCCTTGCCGGCTCCTTCGAAGCCACGCAAGCGAGGCAAGCGAAGACGACGACAGCCGTCACTTTCCACTCCATGGCAAGGGTCGAATCCCCGACTGACCAAAACGGCTCTGCAACACAGATCCCGCTTCCTCTTTAGAAAAACTCTTGTGCCTGTGCAGCAAGACAGGCACGGCAACCGCGCCACTACACCCTTTCTGGCAAGACGCCTCCTGCACAACGAGCTCAGTTGCAAGCACCTGGCAAAGCTCTCGCGGCATTGGCATTGCCGTGGACTCCATGAAAGTCCTTCCCTCGACGGGGAACCTCTAACAAGCCGACGCCAAAGAAAACTAGCCCAAATGCCAAACAAGAGGAGGGTCGCCAGAGCGCTCAGTTTGTGGTCTGAAGCGTTCCTGTTGAATGTCTGCAGCATTCTTGACTGTGGCGGTCAGTGCTACTGCTGGCGTCTGCGATACTCTTAGTGACTTAGTGCCATGGTGGCAGCTAGTCTTGTTGGAAGCATTATGCAGTTATCCTTGTCCGGTTGTTCGCGTTGCGGCTAGCGCGCAATTACAGTTCTTGTTTTACACCACACCTCCTTCCAACAAAACGAAAGCATTTTTCACTTCAACGCTTCCGCTTCCGCTCCCCGCTCCGCCCCCCGCCCCGGGCCCCCCCAAAAAAAAACGCACCGTAACGCCGCCGCGCCGCCGCGCTCGCGCGCTGCCGCGCTCGCGCTGCAGAGCCGCAGCCCGGCCCGGCGCGGCGGCGGCGGCGCGGCGGCGCGTCGAAGGCAGCTGCGATGGGGAACCGAACCGTGGCGGCGGCGGCGGCGGCACAGCTCTTTTCTTTTTCTTTTTTGGGTGGGGGGGGTTCTTACACACCTTAGCTCAAAACTTGTTACTTGTAGGAATGTATTGTCTGCTGATGCATGGTTTGGACTTGCTAGCACATCTGAAACCAACTGGAGGGATGCGTGGCTGCAGTGGACTGCCGGGGATTGTCTATAGCCGATGCCCAGACCTGCGGGCAGCTGGGGCAGCTGGCATAGCTCTTCAAGCACTTTGTGTAGGTGAGACGTTCCGGATCTCAGAGATAAGGAGAAACAACACGCCACGCCGCCACGCACGCTGCGGCGCTCAGAGAGGCGGCCGGTCTCGGCGTGGAATCTCAGCTGCCGTCAGCCGCCCTGTGGCACGAGGCAGGCCCGGCAGGCGCAGTTGCAAATTTCAGAGAGACGCGGGTCCCGCTAAGCCGCAGGCAGTCATGAGGTAGCTCTGCATAATCTTCCCGATGGCATTGGTCACCTTTCATCGCGAGCGAATCGTGGAGGCTGGATGCCGAAGACGTTCCCTCCCGAGAGCGCCTCGGGGTGCTGGGTCCGGACGATGAGCCGCAAGAGCTTGCGTCCTGCGTCGTACTGCAAACGGACCTGCAGAGCGGAGCGGCGGAGCATCTCTCATCATCCGCTCTCAAAAAGCGGTGCTGCTCTCACTCAGGCCCGAGTCTGGAGCAAGGACAGGGACGGTCATCATCTTCTCGGGCTGCTGCGGCTCAGGCGTTGCCGTGTTCAGCGTGCCTCACGGAGGCGGGCTCGCAGTCTCGCAGTCTGCGCCGCCGCGGAAGGAGTGCTTGTTTCAAGCCTGCAGCGAAGGCTGCAGTCGGCCCACTCTCGGGGAGGACGAACATGTTGAAGCCCTGCCCACATTCGTGCCGTGCAGGGACTTCAGAGCTCGTCGCGGCTGCTCTCCAGGCCCCCCTGGGCCCTGGGCCTTCTCGAGATAGTTGGCCCACTGGTTCGGCTGAGCTTTGGCCTCAAGCACGTTCAAGCAGCAAGCAGCCGCAGTGCTAAAGGCACGGAATTTGCAGACAGCAGCCTGGCCATCCAGCACCAGCTCCCGCGGCCCAGTCAAGCTTTCAAAGAAGGGCCGAAACTGGCCCATCTGCCAGGCACATAAACTTGAACTGCTGCAAAGCAAGAATGCCATGCGACCCGTGCCTGCACTTGCGCAGGCGTCATGAATTTGGTCACGACGGCGGGCCTGGATTAAGGAACTTCAGCGGAGCTCAGAAATGAGAGGGGTGGGGGTTTTGGGGAGGTTGCAGATTTTGGGTCACCGGCAGTAGCAGCGGTAGCTGCTGAGGTGGTGCCCCAGGAGCCGTGCAGTACCTCAGCGTCAAGGCGCGGAGCCGAGGCGGCTCGGAGCTGCGGTGAGGTCTCGGCTCCACCAGGTACTTGCAAGGCTGTAGGAAGGGCCGCATGCACTGGACCTGGACGAAGTGGCTGGCCTCGGCTTTCGATCGAAAACAAAGAGGCGAAAAAGGGCCTCTATTCTCACGGCCTGCTCGCCAGGCTTCAGGGAAGTGGGCACCTCGCCCAAAGGGCGCCCACTTGGCTCTGAAACGCCTCCTTCCGGAATCAGTGGCCGCCTCACTGAAAGTCTGGATTCGCATGTAGTCCACCTGAGTTCGAGATGAGCCCTCGCAGGGAAGTCGTCGCAGTTGCGTAATGCGCCTGCGGAATCTGGACTCGGATGTTGCCAATAGGAGCCTGCGCTCGAAGCTTGGCAGGTGAGGAACGGCTCTCCGAGCACCCACCGAAAGTCCTTGGCGGAGTTGACAAAGGTAATCGTCAGGCGACCTGTCGCAGCATTGTACCTTCAGGACAGAGCCACTGTGTGACTGTGTTTGCAACAGCAAGAGACGGCGAGAGCACTCTTGCTTCAGCTCCAAGACGAGCTGTGGCGAAGTGTAAAACCTGCAAAATGCCAATAGAGAGCCGAGAATCGCACTGAGCTGGAGTGGCCTGCCCTGCGGCGTGATGCAAAGCTGCGACCACAAGTCCTGAGTTCCAAACCTTCCAATCTTGTCTACTTTTAAATCCACCGCCGTCGGTGTCCTTGGGGCTCCCTCCAGCAGCCGGGGCCGTGCCGTTGCTCCGTACGGGTCCAGCATCTGCACCGGCGCCAAACAATCGTCTCACACCCCGCCAGTATCATAGGATACTGGTCACTAGGAGTATCTCCCACTTGCCCAGCCTTCCTCGGAGTCTGACGACTCGGACCTGGGTGGTCAGAATTCTTCAGCGGCAGCTCGCACGTCACAACAGGGTCTCTTTCAGCTTTGCACGCCGACGCATCCTGAACCTGCGGCGCAGCATAACCAGATGCACAGAGTTTGCAACCGGCCGTTGGGCGCCTTCGGCGAAGCAGGGGAGCTGGCCTTGGGACGGCCTGAGAAGCGACGGTCAAAGGTTGGCGTGCCATGTCAAACTTGGCCGTCCTGGGTCCGGCAGCTCCATGATCCTCCCGTCGCTCTCGGCCTTTCCACGGCCTTCAGCAGATCTTCCCCAACATCCCGGCGGGATCGGCTCCTCTCTTGGTCACCACGCCTGGCTTGTACATGCCGCCTTCGCTCTTCGCCGCCTGGAGATCTCAGCACAGCTTCAGTGCAACCGCATGGGCGCTGGCGAGAGAATGACAAGTTGAAAAATGGGGAACCTTAACTTTCTCTCGTGATGTGTCAATGCGAAAACCAGACATCCCTCATCCCATCTGCTGTACGACTCTCCGTGCCCTGTCTCTCCCCGGCGGGACGAGGGCGATCTCTGGCACAGGGGCGTGGCACGAGCGTCGTGAGGCGAGAGTGAAGACGCCTTTGTGACACCTTTGTGATGATGATGAAACACCAGGACGACCAACCCGAAGCGGCCGTTTCGGTATCTGTGACGAGCGGTTTGTACCAGTGTTACACTGCGACGCTGAAGCGGAGCGGGTAGCTCTGGGGTGACGGAAGATGCATGCCTCATGCCATCTTCGTGCGTATGTCACTGGCACAGCTCTAGCTGACGTCGAACTGACGTTGCTGGCCTCCTCCAGCTCCGCACGTGTGTGCGCCCTGTTCTTGGCCGAGAATTTCAGGCGCTGAACCTGCCAAGACGGCCGCACCCAAGCTGTGGCAACAAAATGTCAGGCTGCTGGCCAGAGGATTGTTCTTCTGGACGCTCTCCGCATACCTGGGGCTGGGAGTTTTGCCAGGGAACGGCCTAAATCCGAACACTCCGGAGCTCCGGCGGAGGCATGGGTCTCAGCACCTGGTCCAAGTTCTCCTGCGGGGGGCGGCCCGCGGCCCGGCGGCCCGTCCCACGCACTCCTGAAAGCCGCACCTCGTCCCGCGAGAGCTGCAGGAGCTCCACGGCCCGCTGCTGTAGCTCCACGTCGGCATTGTCCTCACGAGGCCGAGGCAGAACAGAGAGAGAGAGAGAGAGCGATGCACAGTCCTGGATCTCCCGTAGGAAGCCCAGCACCTCGCCCTTCAGAGCCTCGTGGTTGGCGTTCAAGACCTTCACTGCGGCGAGGAGCAGGATGGCCTCCACGCGAACACACGCACACGCACACACACACACACTCACTCGAACACCCAGGCATCCCTGGTAACCTGGTAGGCTGTTCTCATGATATCAAGTCAACTCAGCAATGAGCTCAAAACTCAGCTGAGACATCAAAGAGAAAACGTTGTGGGAGGTCCCTCCTTGCTGCAATTCAATAGGAAAGAAGCCAAGCAACACCTTAAGAACCTAATACAGTACCTGTGCGAGCCGCACTCGGACTCGCACTCGGAATCACCGATGTACAGGATGCCAATGTGGAAACAGATTGCATAGCTGGCATAGCTTGCACTATAGAGGGCGTTACAAATGGCAGGTTCCCCGCGGAGCGTCCCCCGCTGCTTCACAGGCAACTGATGAGCCTCTTTGGCCTCTTTGTTAGTTCAGTGCCCCCGTCACCCCCTACTACATGTTGAATCATCGTTAGCTAACTTCCCGTTGTAGTTTAGGCTCCCCACACACTCACACAGACAGAGATGCATACAGATGTGGAGGTACCTACAAGGTGAGTGGGTGAGCGGAGCTGTTTTCGGAATGGCCTTGGTTGCGGGCGATCCTCGCTGAAAGTGCCGGTGGAGCGCTTCAAACTTCCTGATCCAACTTCCAATTCTAAGCGCTCTGGTTCCGTGTTCGGATGCCAAAACTCATGCCTTTCCAAACCGCTCTTGTTGGCCGATGCTGCGACATCGCCACCCTCCGAGCCCCACACGCACGAGGCGTCACGCTCTGCGGGAGCAGGTGCCCGAATTCTCCTATGAGGTACCTCGCTGGCAGATGCATAGCAAAGAAGTGCGGAGCAGCGCTCCAAAAGGCAGAGGAAATGAGCTTGCCAAGGAACGCCCCCAAGCGCAGGAGCGTGTCATGGGCCGCGCGCTGGCTGGAGAGGTTCTGGTAAGCCTAAGGCTCCACAGGAGCAAACACGAAAGATGCCCAAAGATCTACTGTGAGTTGCAGAGCATTGCAGCAGAGCGTTCTGCCTTGCTCGCAGCGTGCCTTCGCAAAGCGTTCTGCTCCTCAGCTGCTGCGATGGCTAACCGTTTGCAGCTGCTTCACTCTTGCGAGGAACTGGCACAACTCTGCCAGCTTCGCACTGGCAATGCTGCTTTCGACGCCACAGGACCGGTCTGGGACTTCAGTTTTCGAGGTCGTTTCATGAGGGCATGCGAAGCACCGCAAGCGTTGAAGCCTTGCTCACCTCTGCGTGCCAAAGCAGCCAGGAAAGGCAAGCCCAACTGCAACTCTGCAAAAGCGCCGCAAGTTCCTGTTTGAGAAGCACTCTCAGCCCAGGCAAGTATCTAGTGCAAGTGCAGCGCAGCGGGAACCGACGAGAAAAAAAAGGGGAACACACTGAGAAATAATGCCTGGCCGACACGTGAGTCCAGTTTAGAAGAGTGAAGTGACGGCGAGTGACGTTGCCGTGCATTGGCTTTGAGCCGGCTTTGGGCTTTGCAGCTGATGTCACCTTCGAGTGCAGGCCGATTTGCACAAGAGGCTGTTTCCTGCGCAGCCTGCACGCAAAGTGCACATTCTTGTATAGGTGTCGTCACATTGTTCTTTGCCATTGTTCCACACTCTCCGAGGAGCTCGGATTTGAAAGAAGCTCCACAGCACCGGTCGTCTGGGACTCCCTGCCGCCTCCGAGGGCCCGTCCTCGAAGCCCGTCACCACCTGGAACTGCACTTAGCGCACATGACTCACATGACTGCACTTAGCACCCCCACTTGCATCCCGCCTGCACCACACGATACCAGACGTCGTCGGAGACCTGAGCCACAGAGATGCACAGCTTCTCCACGCATCATGTTCCTACATATGCTAAGTAGAGTGAATGACAAGAGCTGGTCGCTCACCGCATCGGGAGCACTCTCCAGCATTTTGAAGACGACCTTGGCTCAGAGATCTGAAGGCCTGCGACTGAAGTCTGAAGGCCTGTGTCATGGCAAGGCGCATCCACGTACCAGCCGATGTTCTTGGCGTTCTTCTCAGCCAGGATGGCGATCTTAAGGACCAACTCCTAAAGGCAGGAAGCTGAGACCGCGGAAGAAGGTCGGGGCCCACGGTTTCCTCTTGGAGGAGGTTGTCACTGGACCCCAAAATTTCCAGGAGCTGATCCACGATCTGCTGCCAGTTCTCTGGCCTCCGAGCATCAACGTACGCATGACCTGCTTTGCAGAAGCAGAGCCACTGCGGAGCCTGCAAAGTGCGTAGAGCAAGTTCAAGGCCTGAAGCCGCAGGCGCACAAATCTGCACGGCACCGGTGGCACTTTAGTGCCTTGCAGCCTTGCCTGTCGGCGGATGGAAATGTCGGTTTCGTGCATCTTATCCAGGATCTGGTTCTTGTACCTGGCCGGGCATCCACTGTCCCAATCCCCGGAAAAGAGATGGGGACTCCCGACCTGTCCAAGTACTCGTGCGTGGACCTCGAAAAATAGAGAAAGGCCACGCGGCCACGACTCGGCCACTCCTTGGACCCCGGGCAAGTTGCTCGCCAGCCTGGCCATGGTCTCCAAGCCCAGGTACCTCCGGCGGGCTTCGGCAGCGCCGCCCCTTCCTTCACTCTTTCACTCTCTCCCTTGCCTGATGTTGGGGTCCGTGGAGGAGAGGAAGATCCCAAGCAGTCCCGCAGCGGTCTTGGTGGTCTCCGGGTCGGCCGTGTCCTCAGTTCTCCGATTTCCCTTCTCGACGAAGTCTCGTCTGTGGGTCTCTCTCTTGGAGCCTCGAGGTGGATCATGAGGTTCATGGCCTCAGCTCCCAGAGGCTTTCTTGTTCGGGCAGGCTCCGTCTCTCTCCAACCTCGAAGAGGACGGCGTGCTCCGCATTGGACCGGTTCTGCCGCTCGGCGTCGACCTGAGACGGAAGGCAAAAGCAGGAGCACAAGCTTGTGCTGAGCTCCTGGTTCTATGGCCCATGGCCTTTGTGCGTCTCTTGCCGGGACCTGCCACAGCGGCAAGGAAACCGCAAGGAGCCCCCAGGAGCCCGCCAGGCGGGCCAGGCGGGCCGGGCCTTGTTGCAGAGGAGCCGGGCTCCGCTGCGAGGAAGGCTTCGCCAAGATGCTCTGAAGGATCAGGTTCAGCCGATGCCTTGAAAGGCCCAAAAAAAACCCTCTCCGGCAAAAGCTGCTCTAGCCGTTCTAGCCCGTTTCTCCCGTCTTTGTATCGTCTCCCGTTTCTCGGGTTCGGGCAGCAGCTCCGCATCAAAGATGGAAACCGGGAAGAACTGCCTAGGCAGTTTCACAAAGCTCTGCTGCTCCGCTTCCAGTCGGCTACGATTCGCTGAGGGCTGCGCAGGATACGAAGCAGCTTGCTCTGCAGCCAGGGCGCGGGAACGTGGTAGTACCTCCGAAGAAACACTGCAGCGCCACTCCGCGACTCGTGCTCTGACAAAACATGTCCTGACATCCTGGGAGCACTCGTAGTGCTCAGGGCAGAGGCCCTGAACCAAGTTGGCCAGGCACTGGCACACGGGCACCACAACGCCCGACCACGCGGGGGCCTCGGGACTGGTAGGGAAGAGTCCGCCGCAGCAGTGCTTATGGCGTGCTCTCCGCATCCTTTTTGCCGGCTCTTCTGCGCTGCGACTCTCGACGGAGGCCCTCTGGCGAGCTGCCTCGGAAGTCCCATGAAGTCCCCACACACCAACACCGCAAAGCATCCGCAACGCCATTTCATGCGGGTGCTAGGCGCCGCCTCGGAGACGGCCACCGCCCGGCGGATCAACTCGGCCTCTTTGCACGGGCGCAACGCAGCAACGCGGCGCATGCGGCCGTCGCCGGGGCCTTCCTCTGCTGGAGCTTCTCGCGCGCCGAGGCCTCCTGCACCTCGGTTTCCGCATACCCGCGCTCTGTGCATCAAAGGCTTTACTACGCTGCCACCGCTCCCTCCACTCCTTAGCGCCGAGAAACACAGAGCTTCCTGAAAGTGACTTCCAACTGAGACCTGGCAAAGCGAGTGAGATTGTTCAAACCACAAGCTAAAAAAGAACCGCCCATTGAGCTCGTATCAGTAGTGCCTTCTAAGCGCTTCAACTGGCTTGGCACTTGGCTCAGGCTCCTGCCTCTCATCTTCCAACCTCGCCGTGCAGAGTCGCACTGTGGGATAAAGCGCAGTGCGGCATCACGTGTGCTTTCCATCATCTTCAAGAGGATTGCACACGCCCTCACCGCCCAATGACTGGAGTGAGCGAGCGAGTGAGGGGAGTGAGCGAGGGAGTGAGGAAACAGTTTGATCTCTCCGCCCATTCCTCTTGTTCCGAAGTCCATTCTCTTTCGCTCTTTCCTGTCTCGGGAACCGAAGCAGTCAACTATACACCCTATCACTCACCCGAGCAATCAAGATCAAGAGTGAGCGAGGGGAGTGAGGAAGTAATCCTGCGCGGTGCTCTTCCGAAGCAGTACCAGAGCTTCAAATTGAGCTTGGGACTTCTGGAGCTCAGCCGCTTTGTGATTGAAATCCTGCTTGCTGACACGAAGCTCCTCGCAGGCTTCTTCCTGAGCGAGGCTGCAGGGAATTCAGAACTGCTCAGCCGCGAGCTGCCAGTTCGACAAAGGCGCCAATCTCTGCTGCGCTGCCTGCACGAGACGGTTCCCCCCCACCCCACGTGCAAACGCCGCACCCTGTCCTTCCTCCCTGGAGAGACGCACATGGCAGGGCCAAGTGACAGGAAGAGGATCTGTTGAGTAGCTTGATACTGTGGGCTCCGAAGTGTCGTGCTGGACCCAACGTCAAGAACCCCCGCTCCAAGAGCCAAAAAAAGGGCGGAAAAAGGGCGGTCGGGCGGTTGCCTTTTCAGGGAAGGAGAGAGCCTGTGCCCGGCCCCGCACGGGGAACTTCCCCATCTCCAAGATGCCCAGCATGAAGCCGCTGGCGGACCTGGGCGGAGAACAGAAGAAGCTCGGCGCTTCCGCCCCCTGCCGCCGTTGCGAGCAACGGGCGTGAGCAGGCCGATGTCCTGCTCGTTGAAGAGCGCCGCGAGCTTCGGAGACCAGACCTCCAAACAACTTCAAAGGAGGGAGGGAGCCCTCTTCCTGTTGAGCATGGATCGATCCTCTGGCTGCAAGCCGTCGTTCTCCTCCAAAAGGCTCCGAACTGGAAACTCTCTCTCCGGCCGTCTCGAGTCTAGACTAAAGAAGTCCTTGCGATAGAGCCGCAAGAGGCAAATGCAAGCTTTCCGCTTGACGTAGGGCGACAGCCTCGGAATTCCCAAAAGAGTGCGTACTTTGCCCGCGGTCGCGCAGCATCATGTCAGCCCAGCTTGGGAATGTGCCAGAGGCTGGGATGTGGTTTTGGCTCATGGTATGGGTCAGGGAGGCTTGGCAAGGCATGGGAACCGATCGTGTGCCTCCAAGACAAATCCGATGCAAGCGTTTTCGTCTCGTTCCCATGTGGAGAAGACGAAGAGACGATGTCCTTTCTGTCAGCTGAGCCGCGCATTGGCCTGCGTGAGGATCATCCGCGCGATGTCGGTGAAGAGGTTGTCTGCAAACTCGGGGCCTCGTCAAGACCCCGGAGAGAGCGAGACAGATAGAGAGAGAGAGAGAGAGCTGTATGGGAGAGTGTGCGGCACGTGGCGCCGGGAGCCCGACCTCCGATGTTCGCCACCGTGTTTAGGGCCAGCGCCGCCATGTGCTGCACGGAAGACAGACACAGACAGAGAGTGGAAAAATCAAAAATCAGTCCAAGCGAGACACCCAAGATCAATCTCTTTCCCCAGTCACACAGATGCAAACACTCCTTTGTGCAGTCAAGCCTTGATCCAGTCTTGAGCCAATGCCATTCGACATCGTAGCATTCTCTAATGCATCTTGAACATTCGGGTGCACATTGGGCTCGTGTCATTTAACACAATCCCTTGATCTTGACTTCAGTCGAAGATCATCCCAATACAAAAACGAGCATTGGTGGTGGCATTCACAAGCGATCAAAAGGAACAGTTAGAACAATCACCAATCAAAGCAGCGAAGGAACATTGGTCTCATTCCGAACTTTTGACTCGACTCGGGATGACATTCGAGTCGTGAAGAAAAGGCATTGCAGAAAGTCGGCTCATGCTACATTCGGCTGAATCCGAGAACTTCATTCTCAGCTAACCACTGCAGAAATCCATCCAACATATCAGGGGGAACTTCACATTGCAAAACGATCGCAGTCACATTGGCACCCCTAAGTTACGCTGCTGCTCAGTGCATTCACTTCACTGTGCCCTTCGCATTCTTGCGGGGGACAATCTCGGAGCCGGGCTCGAGGGCATTCGCAGTCTGCGCCAGCGCGACTCCGGAGGCTTGATCATTCTTGCCCTTGGGAGCATTCCAGGCATTGCTGTCCTTCACTTCTTCAAGTGGAACAGTCGTGTTCCAGTACGCATTCACACATTGCGTCAATGGAATCATCGTGTGACCCATCAATCGCCATTCCACAAGGTTGTGTCCTCGGTGGGTAGCGAACATTCCCCACTCAATGATCTCATTCAAGCACAGAAGCAGCTTGAACCTGCGAACGCACATTGGATCATTCAGCGGGACACGGACAATCCCCGCACTCATGTGGCACAGTCGCTCCAGTGTCCACTTCCAGTCATCGGGGCCTTTCCCATCCCACTCAAAGGTGCTGATGTGGTCAGTGAATTGGCGATTAAATAATTCGCCAGTTTCACTCGAGCATTGCCATTCGGTCCGCCAGCAACCCATCTTCTCATTGCGGCAGTCTCGGTGCGGCGAAACACCACGAAGGCAATCGGCTCATCATTCTCACTCTCCTCGAAGACTCCTTGGTTTGCCCATTGCACAGTCTTCCTCAGTGCGCTGAGGGCATTGTAGCTGCCTTTCAGCTGGTGGCAAGGAAACTTTTCCAAATCCAGCACGCCATTGGTGTATCGTCGCGTTGCCAACGACAGTGGGAGGCAAAGCCAGTCGTACACATTCACCAAGGCATCAGCGGCGTTCTCCTTCACATAGTGAGGAACCAGCCATTCCACATGCCAGTTCCCTTTGGTAAGGAACAGTCGCTCGGCCTTCGTCATTTGGGCCCAACTCGTCTCAATCATCCGGCTGTTTGGTTGAGGGAGTTCATTCTCATTCTCAAAGAGCTCATTGGACCATTCGAATGCTGGTCCGGGTGGTCGAAGCGACACGCAGTCGTTCCTCCACTTCTCGTGCCTGGCATTAGCACACTCATGACCATTGGGAACATTTGATCGTCCCATTCTTTCTTGTAGAGAGATTCGGCCAGATTCACTTGCCCTTTTGGCCACTCTCTGGCGATCAGTCTCCACCACAATGGTGACCCAGGCATCAAGCTGACTAAAATTAACAATGTCATAAACTTATACGAAGACCGCAAGATATCACAATTCACAACAGCTGCTAAATATTAAATGGTATGACCATAGGCAACGCCAAAGCAAAGGAAAAAGGAATAAAGCAATATGAAAAGGCTGTGGCAAAATATGAGGACAAAGCACCAATAACCGAAAGGATGAAAGCAACAGTAAAGAAAGCGAGGAAGGGCAAGGAAGTTAAAGAAGTTGTAAGAAACACCGATAAACAACCTGTATTAAAAAGAAAGGCCATTGGCGGTTTATCAACCAAGGCAAAAGACATTTTCAAAGGCAGGAGAAATTACGATGTTAAGTATATGCTGTTTTCTATTCATAATCGTTCGGGTGCAAAAAAATCATCATTTAGACTAGATGGTGTAGCATACTATCCCTTAATTCTTTTGACCCGTGGTAAAGATAGTGTAGTAGGAAGTACCAATGTTAGAGCAAATGGACTCATTGAAACATTAGTTAAGAGGAGGATAAGACAATACCACAATATCGAAAAGTTCTTGTTTAGAAAACTGATGATTACTATGAACTCAAGTAGCGAGTTTAAGGAGGGGACAGGACACCTGATAGAATATGCTGATGCGATTAGAATTGAAAGCGTTGAGATTGTTGAAACAGACACAGGCGGATACGACGAGAGAGAAGAACCATTACAACAAGGCAACAGCATAAGCACATATTACAGATACATCTAAACCGAAGTCAATCCTGAAGCAGAGACTATGAAAGAGGCATTACACAAGCAAAATTACAGAGAAAACGAATGTTGGATAAATGCTTTACTGGAAAACTTTGAAGGAACTAACCTAACAAGAGAAAAACTACAACAAAAGAACACAAAAACACTGACTGCTGAATATGACAGAAGATGAATTTATTAATACGGGTGCGACTATAAACCAAATGGATAAGGTCTTTAAATTCTTCTATATACCAGTTAGATTATACAACTTTACGGGCACTCTGATTTATGAACATAACCCTGACAATTATGAGAAGGGGCGAGTAAAAATATTCAGATGACTTGTTAAAATATCATATATATTTATTAAACCACGATTTAGAGACATTAAGGCAAGTACAACCGAAGGATAAATACAATGCCTTTACAACAAGCAAGGTTTACATCACCGATAGAATAGAACCAATTGAATACAAAATATTTGATAATGTAGATGAACTGCTGAATATAACCGATAAGGAAGAATACGCCCTGATACATTCCGGCAATGATTTAGTCAAGGTCTTTCATCAACTGAACGAAGCAGGATACAAACCGCATATTAACTATCAAGCGGGAAGGATTACGAATATCTTATGTAAGTTTTATTACAAAAAACTGAAAAAATACATTAAATACAATATTGTCTCGCAGTGTTTATCACAAGAACGAGTTGACGAAGATGTAATCACTGATAATGAGGAAGTGTACAACAAAGTCACTACAACAATGTTTAACTTACAAAAAGAGTTGTTTGAAGAAAATCACTTATCCTTTTTTCACGAGGTAGATATACAAATCCTTAAAAAGTGTAAAACCATAGTTCCGGTTGGCAAGTTTTGCAAAGATGTGGCGGTTAAGAAAATAAAAGAAAAAGATATTAACAAAGCATTCACACACGCGGGGAGGAAGTATAAAATACATCCCGAAATTTACACAGTTTGACATATTCAGACCTTTTGGCGAGGAATGTAGCACAGACCAGTGTAACAACCTGACATTATACATTGTAGAGGTGTATGAAGGAAATATTTTTTTCAACAAGAAGTATTGCTTGGTTTATGGCAAGTTTTTGAATAAACTGCTGAAACACAATGTTAAACTAAAAATCTTGTGGCATAAGCTACCCAGCAATATTTACAAGGAGGATTATAAAAAGTTGATAGATGAACTGTATGCAACAAAAATGACAGACGACGAAGACTACAACAAGCAGACGCAAAAGAAACTGCGGAACATCAGCGTGGGAATGTTAGAGAAATCCCATAACACCAGTCAGCGAAGTAGCACCTTTACTTCATTGAAGGAGGCGTGTTATTACCAAAGCATTTACGGTGGAAAAGCTTATACTATAAGCGAGTGTCAGACAGAACTTAACGAAGTGGATGAAGACGAATTTGAAACAAAGGAGACAGAAAGAACAACATATTATGTGTTAACTGTCTCAGAAAAGAAGACTTTAATAAATGGTCTTATGTATATCAAAGAGTTATTATTACAATATCATAATTTCAAGATGTATGAAGCACATAAGACATCATCCCATAATAACATTAAGGTGTATAGTGTTAAAACAGATTGCTTGACGATACACGAAGACGATGTGGATAAGGTGTATGGATACAGTTTTTGCCGTGTGTGGAGAGAAGGACATCGGCACTTGGAGACTGGAAGAAAAGAAAACAATTACATTGCCTACGCAGTTATACACGTACAAGTTTAACGAAGTGCCGGAAATCCCGAAAATTAGTAATATCAAAGTTGAAGTTGAGGACGAATGGGATATTAAAGCAATCTGCGAGAAAATTATGGTAAGAAATCCCGTGATAGTTCATGGAAAATTTCCGGGCACGGGCAAGAGTTATATAGGCGAGTGTTTCCAAAAAATGGGTAGGAATGTTTTGTTTGTAGTGCCAACCGATAGACTTTTACAAGAAAAGGAAGTAGAAGCGACAACTTCTAACAAGTTTTTCAGCATTGCTGTTCACAGAAAAGTTACCAGCTTTCGACTATTCCCTTTTCAATGTGGTGGTGTTTGACGAGGTTTATATGTCTAACTTATATGTTTTGGATAAGGTCAGACGGTTCATTAAAGAAAATCCTGCTATTATCGTTATTGGGACGGGCGATGTAAAACAATTGCAGGGAGTGGAAGTTATGACCAACTGCCAGAACCCAGCAGTTTATATAGACAACTGCATAGATATAGTATTCAAATACAATATATTCCTAGAAGTGTGTATGAGAGTAGGAGCGAAGGACAGCGAAGAAGGAGACAGAAACAGGGACATCATTAATACCATGTATATAACGACTTTTGGGAAAGCAAGTTGCCTATTCATGACATCATACCGAAATACTTTGAAACGACTGACGACATAATGGCATCGGAGCATAACATCGCCTACACTAACATAAGATGCCGAAATGTAGCAAACGAGATTAGAAACAGGTTAAACAAGAAAGATAATTACGAAGTGGGCGAAATACTCATTGCCAGAAAACGGAGTAAACAACCAAGGGTAAATGTAAATCTACGGTATAGAATTACGAGCATAGACCAAAATGAACTCGGAGCGC